AGTGCCTCCTGAAGTGTCTCCCCCTCCCTTTAAGCAGCTCTCCTGGGCCAATTTCCTCCCACACTACTTGCTTGCTCACTTCCCTGCCTCCCTGCCAGTCTATCATCATGTTGGAGTTGCCTGTTGGCAGCCATGCAAAATGCAGCATGACGATAGTCTTACAATTTTATTATAGAGCAAGGCATCACATTCCTATAGTTAATAACACACACAAAGCCATTATTTCAGCACTTTATTTAACTACTGTAACAGAAATTGTATATCACTTAATTATAATGAAACCTCTAAAAGGGGGTTTGCTAGAAATATTAAAGTTATTAAGGAAAACAGTTGTAAAATTAAAAACCCTTAAAGATCATTAAAATGAGCAGTAAAGGTGTCTGGGCAGTCTTGCCTAAACATTACCCATTCATCTAACTGATACAGTGGTACCATGGGTTACATACACTTCAGGTTACATACGCTTCAGGTTACAGACTAACCCAAAAATATTACCTCGGGTTAAGAACTTTGCTTCAGGATGAGAACAGAAATCGTGGCAGCGGCGCGGCAGCAGTGGGAGGCCCCATTAGCTAAAGTGGTGTTTCAGGTTAAGAACAGTTTCAGGTTAAGAGCGGACCTCTAGAACGAATTAAGTACTTAACCCGAGGTACCACTGTACTTTGTATTACTTCAGACACAAGAGCTCCCCATTATTTTTGCAATTCTGATCTGACATCCTTTGTATGTTTAGGTCTGGGGTTCCCAAGGTGGTGCCAATGAGCACCACAACACCCTCAGATTACAATCTTTATTTTTATTTGTTTTTTAAATGAATATTTGTGTCTTTGCGGATTGTTTGCTTGGGAGCAGGTTGCCTTATTTTTTGTGGGGAGGGTCTTGCTTTTTAGTTTATGTCTCATTCATTTTTTGTTTGACCATCACTAGTTTTTCCTCTGCATGTGACATGGCGATTTTGTGCTGCCCATGAGAGTTCCTTAGATTCTCAAATGTGCCCAAAATGGTTGGACATCCTTGCTTTAAGCAGTAGAGCTCAAAGGCCCAGAGCTGATTGTGCAGTTTACATAGCAAGTGTCATGCTAGAAGCTGCAGTGGCTTTTCCAGGATATTTGCTTTGTGTTTGCTTCCTGCTATTCAGGTTTGGCACACCAAGGCCAGACTGAAATTGTGGGGCACTGCTAACAAGACATGCCCTGAGTTTAAATATCTGCTTGTTAAGCTGGGGGAGTTCAAGAGGCATGCCAATGCCCCTCAGATGCAGGATCCAAAATGGGGTGGAGAGGAAAGGAGGAGGCAGCAGCAACAACAACAGGAAGTAGCTGTTTCCTCTGTCAGCCACTTACCTTGAGTCTGAAAGAGGCTTCCTCCTTCCGCCTTCCCACAAATCATATATATAAATAATGAAGTCAGGTGCTGTATTATGGTCAATGTGGTGGGACTGGTCATTGGCCGTTGTTATGGTTCACATTTAAATACCACCTTTATCTTCCAAGGCTCTCAAGGTGGTGGACATGGTCCTCCTCTTCCCCGTTTCAACCTCACAACAACCCTGTGAGGTAGGTCAGGCTAAGAGATGTTGACTGGTCCAAGGTCGTCCAGTGAGCTTCCTGGCTGAGTGGGGATTAGAACTCTACTCTCCCAGGTCCCAGTCTAACACTCTAACCATTGCACCACACGAAAGGAATCACACCATGCAATAAGAGTGTCAGGGAAGGTGAATGGAATGGGATATCCTCGAAGAGTGCTGCAACATTTTGTTGGAAGAGCCTGCTCTCAAGTCAGGCAAAGACATGTGTGAAGAGGCAGAATAAAGTGGAGGTCTGTTGCTCTCCCTGGCCCAGACGGCATTGTGCCAGAAGTCTTGGAGAACCTAAGAACTTAAGAAAAGCCTGCAGGATCAGGCCCATCTAGTCCAGCATCCTCTTCTGACAGTGGCCAGCCAGCTGCCTCTTGTGGGAGGAGAAGGAACAGGCTCAGAATATCCCTGAAAAGCAGTGCACTTGCCTCAAGAGCCATATTATGGGTGGACACCAAAGGCTCCCGGTTTCCATGTCTTTGGATACAGCCAGCCAGCTGAATGAACTAGATCTCTGCAGCAAAGACCCTTTGATGCACACTAGGATATACTGTATCCCAGGCACCAGGCACCATGCAAATATGGATGCCCCTGTAATTATTTACAGCCAGCTAGTTTAACAGATATTTTTTTCCCTTCCAAGGAGGAGGCAACAAACGTGTCCATTTATCTGGATTCCTCCCAGCCAGGCATTTGCCATACTTCTTACTGAGGGAAGGGTCTTAAGGGATGTAACCGAATATCGCCTAGGGCCCCCGATTTAAATGGCAACATTTTAAAAACAAACATGTGCTGTAACTGAAGTCTGTAACCACAACACTCCCTGCCATGCTGCTGCCCAGAAAGCAGGAAGCCCGCCCTATCAACATATCCGAAAAGGTTATCGTATTACAGCTAATACTGGGCTGCTCTGAGGGAAAGGAGACGGCAGGGCTGAGGAACAGCCAAAACCACAACATGCCACAAAACCCGCTGCAGCGCTGCCCTTAAATCCAGACGGGAAACACCACACAAGTTGTACCTGTGCAATGTTGCCTGGTTTGAGCAAGGGCGTCAGCCACTATTTGTGTATGTTTGGGCTGCAGATGCTTGGGATTCTGTAGCTGTAATCCTAGAGCTCTTTACCTGGGATTAAACGGAAAGCTACCTCTGACTGTTAGGTCCAGTTGCGGATGACTCTGGGGTTGCGGCACTCATCTCGCTTTATTGGCCGAGGGAGCCAGCGTACAGCTTCCGGGTCATGTGGTGAGCATGACTAAGCCACTTCTGGCGAACCAGAGCAGCACATGGAAACGCCGTTTACCTTCCCGCCAGAGCGGTACCTATTTATCTACTTGCACTTGGGTGTGCTTTCAAACTGCTAGGTTGGCAGGAGCAGGGACCGAGCATCGGGAGCTCACCCCGTTACAGGGATTCGAACCACCGAACTTCTGATCGGCAAGCCCTAGTCTCTGTGTTTAGACCACAGCGCCACCTGTGTCCCTTACCAGGGATTAAGCTCCATTAAATTCAACAGGACTTCCTTTAGAGCAGACACGTGCATAGTATAGCGCTGTAACTGTACATGCTTTGCAGTTGAGGGCCCAGTTTAAAAAATGCAACTCCAAATGCATATATTCCACCAACCCACTCATATCCTGTTTAAAATGGGGCCAAAAGCAGAAAGTGCAACATCACCGTCTTGGGCTTTTAAGGAAAGGCAGGATACAAATCTAAGAAGAAGAAACTCCAGTTAGCTCACTCGGTTAGAATGTGGTGCTGATCAAGCCAGGTTTGCAGGTTTGATCCCCATATGGGCTACCTGCATATTCCTGCATTGCAGAGAGTTGGACTCAATGATCTTGGATTGACCATTCCAACTCTACGAAATCACAGACAATGTGGTGTAATGGTTCGAATGTCACAGTAGGTGTGGGAGACCTGTGTCCAAACCCCTACCTAGCCATGAAACACATAGGCCTAGTTTACATGCATACATATGGCTTATATTATTTGTGGCTTTTCTTTTCTTTTTTGCATGGGTGGGATGTTTTAATTTAGTTTAACAACAACAAAAAATAGAATTGTCTTTTTAAATTGTTCTTCTAATGCCGGTTTTAATGTATCCATGTTTGTGTTTGTATTTTCCTTAAAATATTATAAGTCTCTTTGAGTTGCCATGGCAAAAAAAGAGAAACTAATAAAATTAATTAATTCATTACAACTATTTGCCTTTTAGAAGTGGGCAGGGGCATAGGAAGGGGGGTGCGGGGGGTGCGGCAGCCCTGGGTGTTATCCCTGAGGGGGTGACAAAATGGCTCACCACGGGGGGGGGGGCACTTAATGTGGGGCCTGTCCTGCAGCGCGCCCGAGCCACGCATCTCTCCTGGGAGTGAAGCAGTGGCTCAAGGCCCTGCACTGGCCAAAACGGCAGTGTGGGGCTTGCGTCCGCCAGGCAGACTCTATGGGCAGCTCGCCGCACTGCCCCCCTGGGCAGATGGCCCCTGCCCTGCCGCTCTGTGTGCCGGAGCAGCTAGCTATGCCCCGGGAAGTGGGTGGGATTTTTAAAAGCTACTTCTTTTTCCTCTCAGTTTTAATATATCTACTGTATGCTGGGGTTGTTGTTGTTGTCTGCCTGTCTGTCTGTTTGGCTGTAAGTTGCTTTGGGTTGCTCCAGGCAAGATAAAGTGACTGACAAATGTACAGTGGTACCTCCGGTTAAGTACTTAATTCGTTCCGGAGGTCTGTACTTAACCTGAAACTGTTCTCAACCTGAAGCACCACTTTAGCTCATGGAGCCTCCTGCTGCTGCTGTGCCGCCGGAGCACAATTTCTGTTCTCATCCTGAAGCAAAGTTCTTAACCTGAAGCACTATTTCTGGGTTAGCAGAATCTGTAACCTGAAGAGTATGTAACCCGAGGTACCACTGTAATTGATAAGATATGATATGATTTTAGAGCATGGTGCTGAAAAGGCATGGTTGCAAGTTCTATCCCGGTATGGAACAGCTATATATTCCTGCATTGCAGTGGGTTGGACTATAACAGGCATAGGCAAACTCGGCCCTCCAGATGTTTTGGACTACAATTCCCATCATCCCTGACTACTGGTTCTGTTAGCTAGGGATGATGGGAGCTGTAGTCCCAAAACATCTGGAGGGCCAAGTTTGCCTATGCTTGGACTACAATGATCCTCAGGATCCCTTCTAAGGCTACAATTTTATGATTCAATGATAATTCTTCTTCTTTGGCGATGGAAGTGACTGGGAGGAGGAGTAACCCCTACATTTCGGACTCCCTCTTGCATATAATCAACGCGTATAATCAACAACCGCCGGTGCTTCTCTTAACTCTCCCGCAGCTGGAGTTTTATCTCGTTTCCCTTTCTTTCTTTTGCAAGGGAACCATTCGAAGGGGCATCTCTTCGGAGACTTACGGCGCGCGACGGTCTCCGCATGAAGTTCATGCAGGCTGTTGTCAGGTTCACTTTCGGGGTCTTGTCGTCGGAGGAGGCAGCGCGCGGGATGAGGGAGACCTCCCCGTCCCGCGGCGGCGGCGGCGGCGGCGGCGGCTCTTAACCCCTGGGATTCCGCGGAGAGCTTTCCCCGCGCTGCGCTCTGAGAGGGATGGGCTGCAAGGGGAGCAAAATGGGCTGCTGCGAATCGGGAAGAAAGGTAACGGCGGCGGGGGGCGCGAAGTTTTTTAAGGGGAGTTGAAGTTTTGTTGGACGGGTTTCCTTTGACAGGCAGCCGGAGGGGAACGAAAGGGCAGAGGGTCTGGCGCGCTAGACACCCCGCATCTAATCGGTGAGCGGGTCAGAGCGGGGAGAGAGACTTTTAGCCTGCAAGAAAGAGAGAGAGAGGAAGGAAGGAGCAGTTAGCAACCGAGCCACCGTGCTCGACTGCCCCGGAGACAAGGCTCCTTGCGTGGGAGGAAAAGTTAGAGACACGAGCCCGCCCCGCACCCCCCCCCCCCGCGCGCAAAAAAGAAGCAAGTCGAGGAGCCCAGCGGTCACTAAAGTCCTTCCTTTGGGAAGGGGGGCGCGTTGCCCTCCAGCCGCTTCCAAACAAAGAGATTTCTTCCGAAGTTTAATCTGAAAGGGAGGGGAGCGCGGGGCAACTTTGGGAACGCGCGATTGGCTGGAAGGAGTGTGGGGGATTTTCGTACCTGGGGAGGGGAGGGGGGCAGTGAAGTGTCTGTAGACCCGGGTTGCCGCTGTTCGACGGGCGTGTACACGTGGGGCATGCTCAAACTCGCGTCACGTGTGAACGATCTCGTTCTCTGGCCTTTCCCTGGGGGGTAGAGGTTGGGTGTGCAAAGCTGCCACAGAGAAGAAAGGATTTCCTCGGGTGGTGGTTTGTTTTGGTTCTTGTTTTTATTATGAATTTTGTTTTTTGTATCTTGTAGTTCTATGTTGTGAGCCCCCTGAGATCTACAGATGAAGCGCGGTAACCAAATAATAATAATAAAATAATAATAACGAACGAACAAACAAACAAACAAACAAACAAATAAATAAATAGGTGATGATGCAGGGAAAGTAGTCCGCACGTATTTATGCAGGAATGAATGGTCCTGCAGGTTGGCTGACACTAGACCCTGGGGTGGGGTAGGGTGAGGGTAGTAATTCTGGGTCAAGTGATCCGGGGTTAAAACGTGGGTCGAGTATCCTAAATCGCTTCTGGTTGCCGAGGTCATAGGCTGAGTTTCTGAAAACTCGGCAAAAAGTTATGTGTGGTCTTCCCAAAGCATCTGCCTGTAATTCTCCAGGGTCGCTCCTGGCAAGTGCTAGATCCCACGTCTTTAAAAGGGAGTGCATTCCATGAAAGGCAGCGGAAATCTCCACTCATATTCTCCGTTGCTACTTTGTTTTTAAGAAAATAAAAGCACTTTCCCAATTATTGTCCTAGAAAGAAGAAAGATGTTTTGGCAGTCTTCAGCTTAAGTCAAAGCAAATGTGAGGCTTGTTTGGGAGATAGGATGGGAGCGTGCAGATTCAGGGTGCTGTCTCTGGGTTAGAGGTGAGGTTCTATCCAGCATTGTATAAAGACAGGTTTTGGGTACTTTTATGCGTTCCAGTTGTGTGCTGTTAAACTCAAGTGAGAGATCAGGCTAAGCTACCCTGAAGCTCTGGTGTACATTTCAAGCTTCTCAAAATCCGAAATCAGGACAATGTCTTCATTCTTGTAAATAGCTTCTTGTTCTCATGCGTGTGTGTGTGTGTGTGTGTGTGTTGATGGTGAAATGTATGATAAAATGTTGATATTGGCAATTTCCTGTTAAAAAAACCACCGCCACAAAACAGCCCACAGCTTTGCTGGAACATTTATGCTGGCTGTTCAGGAGCTGGCGTATTCTGATTAATGTTTACGTCCTTGTCCTCTGAATTTTAATATATTCTCTGATGTTGGGGACCTTTTTTTTCTTCCAAGAGCTGCCTTGAGGATAAATTTGGGGGCATATGCTGGCAGTAGGTGGGCACCAAGCTCAAAGTAGACAGTGCCACCTGCCTTTCTATTTGCCACTCCTTACCCCGTGGGCATAGCCAGGATTTATGTTGGGGAGGGGTCAGGCTTCATATCAGTAGGGACAGAACCTCAGTTAGTTAAGTATTTTTATTGATTTACTTGCTGGGGGAGTGGACAGCTGCCCCTCTGCCCTCCCTTGGCTATGCTCATGCCTTACCTCCACACACACCCCCTTTGGTTATCCACATGAAATTAGGCTGAGGGCTACATACAATCCTTGCACTACAGGTTCCCAACCCTGGAATAGACCATTAAAGCTGCATAATATACAACAGCATACAGAACACACTTACCTGGGAGTAAGTCCCACTGAACATGTGTAGGATTGCACAGTTTGTCTATATAGGTTACAGAGTAGCTTGAATGAAAAAAGCTGTGCTGCCTTTTCTTTCAGTGGTCAGTTATCTACCACAAAATGCCGCATTTCATTTTACATGGCCAAGCAAGATGAATTCACTTTTGAATCATGTTGTTTGAATACGTCTGTCTCTGATTGCCACGGTCAGGTGTGACTGTTTCTGCTTCCTGATTCGGACAGATTGCTATAACAACAGATTTCACAATGTGCCATTGTTAATTTCTAAGAGATATGTGCGTTCTCTCTTTTTTTTATGATATTTATTAAAAGTTTAAGTTACAGAAAAAAGGAAAAAAGAAACAATAAAAAGTTACAATACTTCAAAAATGAAAAGCAAAATAAAAAATGATACAACAAAACAATAAGAAAAACAAAAACATTTAAAGACAAAAACATTTAAAAGCACATCCAGTATTTCCATATCTTTGTCTTTCATTTACTTGTTTCATCGACCTCCTCACACCTCCCTTTTTTGTATTCTAGTTCAATTAGCTATTTCAGCAAATCCTTTCCATCTTTCTCAATTTTTGTTCTATAATTTATCTTAACACAATCTGACCTTAAATTTTACACTTTGGCCCATTAACAATCCATTTTTACTTAGTTCTTTATAACATTTCTGCTAAAACCATGTAGCTTCATTCCAGCATCCTTCTAGCATTCGTTAATTTTACAATATTTCTGTAAATATACTTTAAATTTTTTCCAATCTTCTTCCACCGACTCTTCTCCCTGGTCTCGGATTCTGCCAGTCATTTCCGCCAATTCCATGAAGAGATATGTGCGTTCTCAAGCCACTGATCACAAAACTCTGCCTTCTGTTCGCAGAAGGGATGGGCCAAAGAAAACACGCTTTGCCCATGCTCAGAAGTGCCCTTGCTTTCAATATGGCACCATGAGCACATTTTTCTAGGGCTGAAGCCTGGTGAGCTTGGCTCAAATGAAGCCTTGCCAAAATGATGAGGCAAACCCCAGCATATAACTTAATCTTTCTGCAAGTAAATATTCATAAGCTTTCACTGTCCATAAACATTCCTTTCTTGACACACATTTTTGCTCATTTCTCAGGGAAAAAGAGATCTCAGAAGACAAACATGTTATTCTATATGTTTGAATTCTGTGGGAAGGTTTACTAAAGAACATCTGTGACTGTTGCTCTTTTCTTCCTTTCTTTTTTGTTGTAGTGTGCACCTGTCTCTGCTCAATAAATATGCTTAACTGTATCGCAAAGTACGTTAATCCCCTTATAAGCAAAGTCAAGCAATTTCCTATCAGACCAGTCAGAGCTGTGACAGCAACTTTTCTCCAGTTTGCACTACATTTTAAAATTGCAGTGAGCAGGAGGGACAGTGTTTGGGACATTACTTTCAGAGATATGGAAAGAACTAGAATGGGAACATACCATGCACTCGAATTACTACTATCCATCCTTAGGAGAACTTACACCAAGCAAATCTGAGTGACAGCTTCTCACAAATTTCACACCATGAATATCATCTTAAAGTATTCCGTCTCTACACTAAGCTAGACAAATCTCAGTATCCCAATTTTTCAAACTTAAAATCAGCTTTCCACATTGGTTTGTGAATGTTCTTTTTAAAAGTCAGCGTGAAAATCAACACACATTTGTATGTGCATTTTTCCTAATCTACACATTTTTGCTAGGAATTTCCCCCAATTTTTGTATATTATTTTCACAAATATATGCACACTTCCCCTTAATAGATGTTGTTTGGTTGGACAACTGCATGCCAAAATTTGGAGAAGTCTGAATTGTGCATGCACATGAAAGCTTATACCCAGAATAAACTTAGTTGGTCTCTAAGGTGCTACTGGACAAATTTTCAATTTTTTAATTTATTTCAGCTGCATTTGGGTTTGTGTATTGGTTTGGGAAATATGAATTCACTTAAACGGCTCCTTTGAACAGAAGCAAGCAACATTCGATACCTATCTAAGGTTTCTTCAGAATAGTATTTTATTTATTTATATTAAAAATTATAAACTGCACCGAGTCCAATAATAGATTTTACGGTGGCATGGAAATAAATTTAAAACTACAAATGCATTATATTATAATACAAACCAAAAATATGTTAAAATTAAGAGAGGTGAAACATGAAACCAGCTAAAACTATCACAATCTAAATTGCCCAGTGCACATAAAAAGGTTTTAACAGTGTAGCACAAAGAATACAGTGTCCACACTAAATGTCTCCGGTTCAACAATCCCCAGCATCTCCAGGTAGGATTTAGAAAGACACTTGTCTATATACAATACTGAGCTCTGTTGACCAATGGCTTGGCTCTGTAGAAGGCAGCTTCCCCGCACATCACAGAGAGGGCTATTCAAAAGCTTTGTCTCTGACCACGCAGTAACCTAAATCCCGTGCTTCTTGCACATGTGCAAGAATTGAGGTTGGAAACTTACACCACCACCCTTTGGCACTTACTCAAAAGAAGAGACAAATACCCTCCGAGTGAGGAAGGTTTTGACTGTGGGATCCTAGCCAGTGTTAATCTGCTCAGGTGGAGCTGTTCAGCTGCTGCTTTGCCATTTCAGGCCTGTAGGCTCTGGTAGGCCTCAGCCTTTCCTGTCATTTATTTTTGTTTCTCCCAAGAGTGAGAAGATAAGGAAGCGATTGTCTTGGTGCAGCACACCAGAATCCTGTGGGGATGTGTTCAATAAGAATGCTGCTGTGCGCTGCCAGGACATTGCAGAGACACATTATATCAGGGTGTGGAATTCCTCCGCCTGGCACAGGACGACACGCACTCTGTTCTTGCA